GTTTTAAACTCTTTGCTTTACACACAAGCACTTACACTGTCCAGTACATCATTAATATTATGATTTCCACTCATTTTACTTTTGTTTGGCCCAAGGCGAATCAATATAAGGTGATAGCAGGAGTACAAAAACAAAAATTTACATGTATTTTGTTTTTGCTTTGGCGGCATAAACTGTCAAAACCTGTAAGTGTGAGTAGAAATTCAAACAAAATTTTTCAATTTGATATCAGAAGCCGTGCGGCGAAACACATACACAAAATCAACTGAGCTAGTAACACCACTTTTTATATATTCTTTTGACATTTATTCTTCTTCTTCTTCTGCTAGCTAATTTCTGCTAGTAAAAATTTCACTAGCAAGAATTTGCAGCTCTCTCGTGTTGTTACGCTCTCGATTCAGTGCTCTCTTGCAAATTTTTTGGGTTATCATACACTTTTCCAGTAAAAGTTTGCAGGTTCCAGTACAAATTAGTACTGACTATTGGTAACTATACAAACCTATTCAAATATCGTCGCCTGGATGGAAAATTGCCGGAAGCGTCATTTTGACAATTTGTGGTTTTTGGATATCTTCTTTAGTTTCCGACTAATTGACTAAAATTTTTTCGGATTGCGTTTGCAAATTGCGTTAGTATTGCTGTCGTACTAAACTAATCAAGATCTTTCAAATAGAGTTATCTGTTCTTCTTTAGTTTCCGACATATTCAGCTTTATCATGAGTTTCATTTTCTAGAACCGGGTCACTTTTCGTTTGCGTGTGTTCACTACAGGTGGATGAAAAAATTGTTGGCGAAATTTTGTTCGGGCGAAACTCACGATTAGGCTGATTAGTAAAAAGTATGGTTAATTTATAAAAATTGTTATCACATTTTGGCGTATATCACTAAAACTGACTGCAAATTTTTTGACAAATGTCGTATACGACAAAATTTTATTAAACTCATAAATGGTTGACACTAAACTAAAAAAAATAAGATAATTTAAGAATTTCATGAACTAGTACATAGCATTCTCCGACACTTTGGAGAAAATCTGTAGTCGTGTTTCTGAGAAATTGCATTCCAAACTTCAATCGTGAGTTACCGAAAGTAACTTGTGACAATCTTTTATCCAGGGATCTACATAAATTATAAAGGTCATTATTTTCGCAGTTGGAGTATATGCCAGACGAGTAACAGGTACACACATACAAGGAAACCTAAATTAGCGCGTTGAACTTGTATATTTATCTCTCTCCAACGCATTAATTCTATATACGTCAGTACCAACGCCTGACAAAGTTATGTCTAAATTTAATAATGGCTCTATGACAAAATATTCATGGAATGTATTCGTAGATTTTTATTTACTTCATTTCATACATTAGCATTGATGTTTTGTTTTTCATACATTAGTATTGATGTTTTTTACTAAATACCAGGAATAAATATTTAATAAAAAACTATTTCATTTAAGCTTAACCAACTTTTAGTTGCTCGGAGCTAATATTGGAACGCTTCACGAAATATTTTCATAGACAGTAAATGCAACCCTGGGTGCATCATTAACGAGCTGAAAAACCAAACAAATAAAAAAATTCCATCTGAACCAATATTCCCAAAAATTATAAAGCAAAACAAAAACCATTTTTTCCAATTTATGCACTGTTATTTTTATTATTGCAATACAATTTCGCAGCTCTTCAAACATTTTCCACATTATGCTTTTAGGGCTAGTAGTTTCCGACCCCATTTGCTCGTTTTTTTTTCAATTCTGAATTTAGGCTAGGCTTCATGGGAACTTACTGTGGGTGCAAACAGACCACATTTTGTAAACTGAATTGTGATATTTAATTTTATTTTATAATGAAAAATGAATTTAATGTGCAATTTTTTAAGTTTACTAGATGTAAGACAACTTTTAATTTTCTTTATATATTGCATGCTTTAGTTTTAATTCTGTTTAAGTTAAGTTGTAAAGGTGAAAATAGGCCTCCTGGGCAACCGAGCACATTAAAAAAAAATCGGTAACGCGCGTAAAAGCATACCTCACAAGTGGTGTGGAAAATGCAAGAACAAATATAAATGGAATAATTTTCGAAATTATGAAATGGTTATTGGTATTTTCCATCTCAAAGGGGATGATTAATTTGAACGTTATTTAAGCTGCCTTTACACGGTCGATTTTTGTCGCTTAACCAACCCGTGTAAATTGCAATTCAACCGTAAAATGTAAGCGTTTTGGCTAGTCGATATCTTAAGTAAATTTTCCAGTCGACAGAAATCCATGGTACAATAAAAACAGGTAGAAGCCAATTTGACGTCAAACCTACAAAAGTCAAAGTTTTCGGGAGAGTAAAAATAAAAATGAGCGTGTGTAANATGAGCGTGTGTAAGGAAAAATAAAAAATTACATTTCACTGGTTGACGTTTTTAAGTAAATTTGAAGTTTAATTTTATTTATTTATTTTCTCTAGTTAAAATTTGTTAATTCGTTTGTTGTTTTCTGTCTTTGAATTATGAGTTGCAGTGTTGTTGGAGGGACTTTTCGGCATAAGAGTCATAGTAACAGCCATGATAAAAACATAACAAGGTAAAACCATTGAGAGGCAGTCTGACGTTTGCCAACAATATAATTTTAAAATCAAAACTCAAACTCACACACACATTCTCATTTTCAATCTCAAACAACAACAATTGTGAACAATTTAATTTTTTTATTTTCAATTTTATATGATTTTAAAATGTTGGCAAACGTCAGAACAAAATCATGGCCGACGAATTGAGAGAATGAATTTACCTTGTAATGTTTTTATCATGGTAACAGCACTTGCCTTTCCTGTACCACCCGGTGCATTTATAAAATCTGCTGCTTTAATATGTTTAACGCACAGCAAGGCATTTCGCTGCGGCTCTGCCCCACAGCTGCTTTCTCAACGCTCCTCACGCGAAGGACATTGAGGCACGTTAAAAAAATTAGTGGTATTTGATTTATAAACCGCACAACACTACACAAATTCAAATGTTAATTAAAATTTGTTTTTAACGAACATTAAAAAAAAACAAAATGACATTTAAAGCGTAACGAAATATAGGAAATAAAAGAAAGCCAAGTTGAAGTTTAAAGGTTTGGTTCTCATGAGAGCAACGTCATTTTGGCTTCTACCNGCTCTGCCCCACAGCTGCTTTCTCAACGCTCCTCACGCGAAGGACATTGAGGCACGTTAAAAAAATTAGGGGTATTTCATTTATAAACCGCACAACACTACACAAATTCAAATGTTAATTAAAATTTGTTTTTAACGAACATTAAAAAAAACAAACGACATGACATTTAAAGCGTAACGAAATATAGGAAATAAAAGAAAGCCAAGTTGAAGTTTAAAGGTTTGGTTCTCATGAGAGCAACGTCATTTTGGCTTCTACC